CAAGCATTCAGTAACCCGGTGGCAGCATGCTTTACAAGGAGCAGAAGTGAAAGCACCAATCGCTCTGTCATCACAAAGGCTCAGCTGGAGTATTCCAAGTGGCCGGATGACTTCATTCAACTATCAAAGAGTGTGTCTCTCAGCTGCTTGGAGGAGGAAAGTGTACCTCCCTTCAGCACTTGAGGAAACGTTAGTAACTGCTCTGTTTGTCTATGAGTTATTTTTTCTCTTTTTGCTAGATTTATTGAGCCCTCGAACGAGCGAGCTGTTACAGTGACTAAAATGACTGAGTCTTGTTTGTAGAGGTTTATGATTTTAAATATTTTATGCAGAAAAATTCATAATCAAAGCTTCTGTAGCAGTAAATCTTTCTCCTCTGGATCTTTTGGGCCTGCAAAACATTCCAAGTGAACAGATGTGGAAAATGAAAATAAAACCTGACAGCTTCCTGTTATCGTTGCTACACAAATGGGCATGTCCCTGGAAAACAATGAGAATTTGTAGTATTAGACTGACAAACTGATGGAAGGAAGTGTTTTTATGGCCACAAGACATAAAATAATACACTGCAGGGGCCATAAATGCTCCCACTGTTTGTTTACGCTGTCCAAGCTTGTGTTTATTTTCTATATTTTATTATTAATAAATCTGCACGCAAGAGCATACAATGCTGCTGTTTGGTATGACAACTTCCTCATTAGAGAGGCAACTGCACAAAATTGTGACTTCTTGTTCTTCTAACCCAAATATTCTGGCAGTTTCTATTGACTGTAGTTTATAAGAGTCAACACACTTGACTCCCACAAATAAATAAGAACATGCAGCTAATGTGCAGAGCTGCAGCTACATCCCTACTGAAACCAAAGGAATATAACCAGATAGATAAATAACTAAAAAAAAAAAAAAGCACTAACAGGGAAACAGGAGTTCCAGAAACCCTAAAAATAAACAGCTTTCATTTATGAACATTTATCAAGTGATGGAGTTAGAAAAAAATGCATTCAGTTCTGATACATTATTTTTGATATTCATGGGCACAATGCTACGCTGTATACTGCATATCTAAATGTACCTCTCAGTGTCCTAGATTGTCCCACACAAGCATCCTCTTTGCCCCATATTTCGCGAGACATTAGCCTGCATTGAGAAATAAGCCACCTAATATACAGTTTGCATGTATAAAATGAGTGTGGAAAGAAACATTGAACAGGCATTTGATTAGAAACCCACAGAGCGCGCGCGCACACACCTCACTGAGGTAAAATTTGGAGTCAAAACTCTAAAATTTACCTGATGTCTGTGTTTTTAATCTTTAAATGGGTGAATTTTTGTCGATTTATGGTTAGAAGGCAGAGCGTTACAACCTTCCAATCACATCACGTGTTTTGTTTCCTGTTTATTTAATTCAAACTAAACTGTGCAACTACCTACCATCAATATCTCGACTTACATTCATTTTTTTTGTTAATTAAAATGATTACTTTTGATAACTTTGTTTTTCTAACATGCAGCAGTGGTTCAATCTTAAAATAAGCATGATTCCACTGAACCCATTTCCACTGAAATTGAAATATGAACGAAATATGAATATGTCGTCCTGTTAGTGTGGTGAAGGAAAGCATTAAGGTGAAACCCGTCAGCCTACATGCAGTCACAGATTGCACTGTGATCAACAAAATACCAAAAGGCACCATTTGTCAGTTTTAGCTTAGGCTTGGTCCTTATTTTAGTGATTTCTAAAAATAAGAGGGGGTGTGAATCCAACTGTAATAAAAGAGGAAAGAAGAGGCTGGCAACATGATTTCATTTCCCTTTTTTCAAAATCATCCAGTTCACGCCCAACACGATCACTTGTCACACTCCTTTTGATTTTGTAAAGCATCTCTCGGTGCTGTCTGAGCCAGCTGAAATCAGATAAATAAGTAAAAGCACATCCAGGGGGATAAATGGGCCAACCGTGCCACTGACTCATCCTCCAAATGTTTGACAGACAATACAGGCAGCCCCCGCAAAAGAAATAAAGCAAAACAGCCTTGAGGCAGGAAAGACGTGGAAAAATTACGCTCTCGCTCCCCTCGAACGAAGCTGCTTTTGGTCTTCCTGCAGAAAGCTTTTAGTCACAATTGAAGATGAAAAGAAAACCAGACACAAGTGTATAAATTCCATTTTATTTCTACCTTTAAACAGAGACAAATCGTGGTCGACTTGAAAACAAATGAAATACAAATAAAAATACTATTTATATCCGTTGTCTTGTTATCTTAATCGTAACAATCTAATGATTTTATTTCTACCCAGCGACAGTGCATGGTGCAAAACATCCCTGATTGATTAAAAAAATCCTAGACTAAGAAGCTTTGCAGTATCTGGGGTTAAATTTGTCAATAAAAACCAAGACTGAGAGAAAAAGCGATGAAAGCGCCGATTCTTAGAGGTAACAACTGTAAATATAGCGAAGCAATTTAAAAAGTCATAAGCGTTTGTACAGCTATGAAATGGGAGTGAAAGTGGCCTTTATTGGACCGTTTTACAGTAGCCACTTACTGTTGTGGAGATAGCCTCAAGCCTTGTATAAACCCTTTGTTATCCTATAATATCACAAATTTCCATACATTTTCAGATATCTTTGTAAATCATATCAGCTTCCCCACCCACCCACCCACCCACCATGCACCATTCACCAGCATGCCAAGCCCGAGCTTCATTTAGCCACTTTGAAATATGAACACAAACTGAAATCACTCACACGTACACATATTCTGCAATAATGGCATCTAAGCTTGGATTTTTCTCAGTACATGAATCATATCATTTTATTTGAATATATTTAAATTTCACTTCCTGAGTTGAAATTACTCAATGTGAATCAGACATGAGCACACGATGAAATCTAATGATGCTCCCCCCACCAGCCTTTTTCTGCACTATCCGCTGCAGTTAAGAGTCCCACTGTCTGTCCCCTGTTAAAAAGCCATCACGCACGGCTTTCTAACAGCCACGTGGGTTTGATAGAAATCGCAGTGGGGCTGGGATGACTGTGACTGTTTGTGTACATGAGAATGCAAGGACAGATGAATGAAATCAGACCAACCAATGATGCAACGGGGCAAAAGAAAAAAAAAAGTTTCAGAAAAGGGCAGTAAGACACCCTGAAACACTGCAGGGAGATTTCTCCAGCAGTTTACAACAGCCTGCGCTGAACTATGGCCCGCTTTCACTGGGAACACCCTGTTTGCCACGGAGGGGGTGGGGGTTGGACCAGCTCTAACATTAGGAGGTAACAGAGATGGTTCCCATTAAAAATTCATGAATCTGGAATCTGAATCAAGTCAAGGTGATCACATAAGAGGGGCAGCAGGTGGTACACTTGAATAATACCCAGTAGCATATGCTCAACTCTTGTCTATGACTCTTTTTTTAATTTTCAGTGAGAAGAAATTCTGAACGTGCTCAAAGCAATGATTGCACTCAAGCAATTAAAGTAATTCCACAATCTGGGCAACATATTTTACAAAAAGCGATCTAAGAAGCGTAGATAATCATCTACCTCGCTGCCACACAGCATTAGCTGCTCAGCCTCACGCTGGATTCACTGAGAGTTCACTGCACATGATTATCTTTAATATAATCCAGCCCCCCTTGGATTTATTTATCTTCTCAAATATCAGTGTTAAAACTGGCAAAACACGAGCTAAACTTGCTTGCACCCCCATTCAGTGTGGGTTTTTACATTTAAATAAACCCACTCTTCGTTTCATCATAGAAAACAAAGAGTGAAGTGGTCTCAGCTGGAGCATTTTGAAAGGTTAGAGTGAATGAATCACCATCTCGTCTCCATTTGTTTTTATGTTTTGCTTTTTTTTTTGTTGCTTTTAATGAGTGAAAATGTGGGGGGGAAAAAAAAAAAAAAATCTCTCATCTCCTCAGCAGGCATCTTAAGTATCGTGTGCAAAGTTCAATACAGATGCAGTGTCAGTGGCGCCTATTTGTGCAACATGTTAACTGCACGTGGTGATGTCATTTACCTTCCTGGTCCTCTCAGCCTTGCAAAAATAATCATTAGCTGCATCAGAAGCCAACAATCATTAGAAAAAAATAAACATTTAGGATTTTATTTGATAAAAACAGCAACGTCTGGCTCAACCAGATTTGTGTTGTTCATTTGTTCACGATTTTTCCACTTATGTGTAAATGCCACTTTGTTTCCACTAGGTGTTAAACTAACCCAAACTTACACATCCTAGCTTCTACGCTTTGAAAGTCTCGCTTATAAAACACCGCCTGTCAATTCAAGGTACCACAGAGAGAAAAAAAAAAACGAAAAGAAAAGCAGCCATTATGCGTGACAAACATAAAGCAATGGCAAAGTGATCAACATGATGGCATGCCTCAAATAAATGGTTATTTTTTATTCAACTTCAGTGAACTAAAAACGAGAAAAAGAAAAAGTAAAACCACACTGGTTTCATTTATCTACAGAGAAAAGAAGAAGAGAAAAAAACAAAA